TTAAACAAAATATACAAAAAATCAATATCTTAAAATTATATCTTGATACAACTAATGAAATTGATCAGAGATTCTGAGGCTATGTTGAAAGTGTCTAATGCAATACAAGGATTTTTAAAGCAATTCACTCATTCGTTAACAGGGGTTATGGCAACAGACATTGAAACTATTGAACCTCTTTTATTTAAATTTTTAGGTTAGCTTTATCGTATTCAGGACAATGCTTGTGAAACTCACTGTATTTATTTGTCTGAAACTTACTACGAAATTTACTCTAATATATGTCATAAATATGTTTTAGAAATGCAAAAAATAATAATAACATGCAAAGAGTTGCCATCTGTCGTTAAAAAAAATTGTTGTTCATCAAAACGTTTTTTTATATTTATACTTAAAACAAATTTGACGAAATATTTTTTGTTCACATAAAATTTAGTTCGTTCCACTGTAATCGTGCACTTAGCATGACATTTGCTCAACATGCATCCGCATAAAGTACAATTATACCATAAAACATGCCATAAAATACATTGCTGAAATTACACAAAAACTGTACATATTACACATATCCATCAACAGATCGACTTATAGGCGAATAAACATATTTACATGCATGAGCGCAAGTTCATATGTAATTAAAGAACACAAACGCGTTTTAGCATGCTCAGGTTATCATATGTATATATAAGAGCTTTAAATACAAAAAACGCTAAATGATAACTACCGGCAAATGTGTATAAAAGTATATATATATTTACGTATATTTGCATTCACATATGTAATTTGTCGCGATTTGCAGATGCTAGATACGGCAATTGTCACACTTTGAGGTCTTTCAACTCACACTTGTATGCGCGCCGATTTGTAATTGTTCTAACATTGTATGTAATCGCTTTCACATACGCACCTATAAACACACATACATATATAAAAATCTGAAAAAAAAATGCTGAATATTGCACCGCTTCCCCTGCATATTGCACATTCAAGCCGAAGTGGCAGCAGCATGCGGCAAATATGAAGACAATGGAGTTGTGAAAAAGAGTCACAAAACTTTAAGACAAAATGTCAACATGCAAACATACATACACATTCACATGTAGACACGCAGCGAGCGACGTCGGCATTGCTTTTCGCAGGTTTTCTATAGTCTTATTATATAAATGTGTATATACGCAAGTATGTGTGTATGTATGTATGTATGTTTTAGAGTGGGTGGTGCATGCCACAGGCACCTACATGCATACACTTATACCAACATATGTATGTGGCACTTATGAAAATTATGTTTCCAGATAAGTATGTCTATTCATATGTACATATGTATGTATTCCTCTGTTCTTTTAAACCGCTACTCCCTCTCTCTTGGCAGTCATCACAATGCAATTCTCATGTTACAACAATTGACAACAAAGCCATGTTCGCCAGTTAAGCACTTGTCGTTGTCGTTTCCATTTGAGAAGGACACTTGCGCGGTCTCAAAGTCTGACTTATCGGCCACCACCGGCAAGCGGCTGCGGTGTGACATTTTTTGGTCGCGCTAGACATTCAGTCTAACAAATAGGTACATAAATATATATTTTGTATATATGTACATATATAAGTACATAATTTTATATGCACATATAAACACTCAGAGAGATACATATAGTCTCATGTCCACACTCACATCACCGTTCTTCAATAACCAAGTGTCATACGTGGTTAATACCTAATTTTCTGGTTGCGTGTATTGCGCTTCATTCATAAATATTCTTTATGACGCATTTTTTTACTTGATGTGTGCGTGTGTGTAAGGTGGTATACTGTCTGGTATTTATGGCATTCGCTCCATTGCATTTGGCACTGAAAAAAGGGAGTTGGCCCAAGCGCTGTCTACAAATGGGCACATACATGCCATTTCAATTAATAATTCTTGGGATTCATGTACCGCTAAAACGTATATTTGTACATGGATTGGCATTCCATAACTATCTCGGAGGTGATATATGACTATATGTGCATATAACATAAGGCATATAAAAGTATATATGTGTTAGTATGGTTCGTATTTGTATTCATTAAGAAGTTGATAGCTGAGGTGTCATTAAGTAATTATAAAACGCATAATTAAATATAAAATTAATAATATTTCAAAAGAAGATTAAAATTACGGCAGTTCTACCGAAAGGCACTCCAAAAATTTGTTTTTAAATTTTAGGATATCAAAGGGTTTAGCTTTACCCGGTAAAAAATAAGTTACACTTTTGAAACAGTTATTAAATAAGAGGTGTTTTTTAATATTAACGGATTTGTTTAATTTTTTTATCTTAAAATAACGAAAATTAAAAACTCTATATTTTGTAAATACATATTAATGAAAACTTTCATACAAATGTAACTTAAAAATTCAGGTCCTTTGTTTTTATATCTTGAGCAAGGAATATTAAGTTTCTCACGAAATTTTTAATACTCAGAAGGAAACATCGGATACTCTTTAAGGTAGGCACTCCAAGGGAACAAGCTGAGCTGGTTTAGCCAAGTCTGCATGTCTGCCTGTATATACGTGAACAACTTCCTCAGTTTTTGAGTTATCAATCTGAAATTTTGCATACGTACTTTTCTCTCCAAACAGCCGCCCATATGTCCAAACTGCCGATATATGGGGTTACACTCGTATATATAGTTAGAATTAAAAAAAATTATTCCTTTATTTTATTTTAAGAATACACACGGAAAATTTCATACCGTTCCGGCGAATATTTTCGAAGTTACACGCAAATTTGAAGGCGTTTCAGAGTGTTTGGAAGAGCAATCTAAACTTTAAACGCATTTTTATCAAAATGGTGTTTCAAAGTAACGTTGATTTAAATTAGACTAACTTATATTAAACAAGTAAGGAAGAGCTAAGTTCGGGTATAACTGAACCTTTCAGTCTTGTAACTTAAAGGGATTAAAGCTAGGGAAGCATCTTCAACTACATAAGGCTTATTAGTTATATGCGGTATAAGTTATCTCGATTATAATCAATTTAAGTGCAAGGAATCACCATTATAAGAAAAACACGTTCTCTAAATTGCATTAAGATACCTTATACATTGACCGATATATGCAGTATATAGTCCAGCGGTGGTTCGACCATTTGTATATAAGGTAAATGGAGGCTAAAGGAGGTACTTATCCAACTCAACCCACTGTTGACTCTGTTGTCAAGCGTACTAGTGTCAGAAAAGAATTATCTCTATATTTCAATTATATATCTTGCACAATGATCGATAATTTTGATAAAAATTCAACTATTAGCACTGGGTTCACATATTCAGTCCAAGCCACTATTCGTTGCAAACTTTAATCCTGCTATCTGAATTGATTCTTGATTTCTGCACTGAAAAGTGAAAGTTTCGAATGGGATAAAATTGTGTTGTATGAGAAAAAGCTGTGGCTGTAGTCCAATTTCGCCCATTTTCACACTGACAGCAGATTTGGATGAAATCAGTCAGATGGATCTCAAAAAATATCATTTCAACTGAAAGTGGGCGGTGCCATACCAACACCTCTCCTTTAAAACCCTCTCATACCATCTCGGGAGTAAAATGTAATGTGCCTGGCTTATTTAGTTATTGATTTATCGTGCTCGTAGTAGTTTTTAACAGTAACGTTATATGGGGAGTCAGCGTGGTTGTCTACCATTTTCACACTGTCGGTAGAAGTTCTTATAATATTCTGTGGCAACATGTTGCCAGAGTATACAAATTAATTAATTATAATTAAAATTCAATTAGTGTAGATATTATTAAATATTTACATAATGAAGAATGAGCATTCTATTTGTAAAAACCTCCATTTGATGATACCGGTATTCCGTTCGTTACGAAATCATTTTGAGTACTTAATGCATTTTCAAATTAGCCAAAAATGCACTAGTTGCGTGTTTGTCTGTCCAATCATCGTTTATAATTGCAAATCAATTAATCATGTTATTTGAACGGCTTTCGTGTTCTCTTTTCGTACAAGTTTTTTTCTCTTTTCTTATTATTTTCATGTGATTTTATAAAAGTAATAGTACAACTTGGAGAAATGATAATTTAAGTTTTAAAAAAAGTGTGTTTGAAGATAATAAGAGTTTATTTATTATTATTATTGTTATTGTTCTGTCATAGTATCATGCATATGTTTTTTTACATATAAGGGGGAAACTGAAATATAATAACTTCCAAAACCTTTACTTTTTCATCGATTTTAACTTAATTATTGGCGCGTGAAAAATTGTCAAAATCAAATTTTATATCCTAATATTCGAATATATGTATGTATATATTGTATATAAAGCTGCACTAGATTTAGGGTTTAGATCAAGAAAAAAATGATTTTATCCACTAATTGGTATATTTATAACTTTAGTTACATTTTATGTTTAAATAATCTGGTTACTATGATTTTTAGTCGATAATATAACACCTGTGATCTAAATAAATAGCACTTATGTTTTGGATTATTTTTGTGTACTATCCTAAGGTACATACACACATCTAGAATATTATATATAGCACCGCTATCAATTATTGCAAGCAATTTGATAATTCTAACAGCTTTCAATATCAACATCAACATGACAGTCATATACCTGTACCTGATAAGAGCCGCACATATTTGAGTGGGTAGAAAATTTGCACATTTAGTCATAGAAAAAGAAAGTTCGCAAATTAATTCACACAAAAAAAAATTTTTTTATCTATCTAGCATTTGTAGAATCCCAAAATGGCAATCAATTGGCTGATAAAAAGTGTGTGTTTGTGCTATTTGCATTTGTTACTCACGGAAGATTAAGCAAAAATCGATTTTAAGCGAGCTTATTCAATAACCACTGTTTGCCTCTAGTACACAAATACTCATTTATATATACATATGCATGTGTATATGTACATGTACATATGTGTGTTGCTATTATTGCAATTCCTTTTAGCACAAATTCCGTTTGTACTTTCATTCTAGTGTGTGCAAGTATTCATTTGTTTGCTTACCTTTCTGCTCGGGTTGCGCCTGCTTAACATCCAAAGCCGACACTGGTGGTGCTGCTACTGCTGGTGAGGCTGTTACAGCGGCCGACTGCTGTTGCTCCTTCTGTTGTTGGTAGATTTGCTCCTGTTGACGCTGTTGCTCCTTCAACAACAGCGGCGAGTGTGAGTCATTCACTGTTGTTGCGGCAATCGGCTGTGCCGGTATGCCTGTGGTTGACTCTGTTCTTATTGTTGTTGCGCCAGCTGCTGCTGCTGCTGCGACCTCTGTCGCTGCCGTGCCATTACTAACAGTAGATGCAGCTTCCAGTGGCACGGAGCTTTTCTCCAAAATATCCGCCATATTGACTTGCTGCTCGGCACTCAGCGTTTATTATGCGAGTGTGTGTGGTGTGTATTAATGCGCTCGTTTGCTGGTATGTAGGAGTGTGTGTTTTACTTCCGTGCTGTGCGCTTTAAAGGATGCGGTGGGGGGATTGCGATGCGCAGCGACGATAAGGAACACCCCTTACAGAAGACGAGTTCTATAATGCGAAGGAATGCGTCGCACTGAGGACCACGAAGTTTCGCCTGTGTATGTATGTTTGTATGTGTGGGGTTGTGTGTTTTAATGATTTTGTTTTTTACAGTAACAGTATGCAGTGTTATTGTTGTAGTTCGCTTTGCGCTCACCCTCTGCTGCCGCCTTCGTCTCACTGGCTCTCACTTCGTGCCTTCGTGGATTGTGTGTGTATCTTTTGTTTGTTGAAAATTTTTTCAATTCACAATTTCTTTTTTAAATTTTAAAGCACTTTTCAACGCGTTTCAATTACCCTTTGCTCTTTATATTAAATGCACTTTTCTTATGTAACTCTTTCGTTGCTAACAAAACAAGAGGTTTGTATGTACATACATATGTATGTATGTAAAATTTTGAACCTGTAAAGAAAGCATTATTAATCACCCGTTTTTATTACGCGCTTCATGCACCACCTTCACACCGGAAATTAAATTAACGGTGAGGGCCACTCGCGGTTTGCATGCGTTCTGGTATACCAACTACCGTCGCTTTTCTGAAATAGTCTCTTTTCAATTCACAATTTGCTATAAATCGCCTATTTTTCCTCGCAGAAACTTTTGTGTATACACAACCATAATATGTATGTTTGTGTGTATGCGTCTATTTTCCTAAATTTTATTCACACTTTGCTTTACGCCGCACTGCGCAGTGCACTTTCAATAGTAACTGGTTGAAAACGAAATTCAAATTTCACAATTCACTCACAAAGCATTTATTTGCATATGAAAAAGAAAAAATTTATTTAATATGCACAAAAACGCTCAACAAAAAAACTAGCCATCAGCAAACTGAAATGTAATGAAAAGAGCAAAAAACACACTGTCACACACCTTAGCGTTGTGTCGTACCGTAAATAGTTGTTGAACCGAGGATGAATCTATTTGGTCTGTTATCTCGTCTCGAACTGATTGCGCGCTGCAAAGAAGAATTTATAATTAACGTTCGAATGCGTACAGCTCGCGTCACAAGCCCAAAAGCCGAACCAATGCAGAAGGCATTGCGAGTGAGAGAGCGCACAAAGACGCTTTTGTGGTGAGCTTTTAGTACACGACGGCCGGTAATGCTGTTAGCCAGCGCTGTTGGCACAGCCGGTGGCGTAAAAGCTGCAAAAGCGACATCTGACGGAAAATGCATGGATGTTTCAAAAATTACCAGGTAGAACCATTTCGGCATTTAAATATTATGGAAAAAAAAATTAATTTACGTTAAAAGTTAATTTTACTAAATGACTAGCTATGGATTATTGAGCATCAACAAACGGATGCTCATATATGCAGCATATTTTTACCTTAATGGGTCTGTTAATCCGCAAAATTGCCGCTTTTGTGGGTTCTCAGAACCCATATGTGTTTTTTGAAAAACAAATGCATTCACAACGTGTCCCCGTTTGGAGTGGATTTTGGGCTGCAGGCAAAAATTAACCATGCTTTGTGTATGGAAAGCCGTGGAGGGCATTTACCCGGTGTGTAATTCCATAAATAACTCTATCTTATGTAATGTACTTTATAATTAAAAAATAAATAAACTGAAAGACTAAAAACTGTGTTTTCATTTTACTAACTCTATCTTATGTAATGTACTTTATAATTAAAAAATAAATAAACTGAAAGCCTAAAAACTGTGTTTTCATTTTAGGTCTTAAACCATTGTTCCGAAATAAGAGTTTCGAAAAATACTATCGTGTATTCAAATAGGTTTTAACAATGCTTCAATTGCGGAACGTAAAGAAATATTATGATTTAGCGTCGTTTCAACAACTTCGTTCACGAAGGCAATCGCAGATATGTCCTTAAAAACAGGAAATAGTTAATAACTAAGGGGATATATCGATAAATGTTAAGACGTCTTCGATATTATCTTCACATAGAGCCTTCCGTTGGTAAACTGGTCATCTTCGGACAACACACTTGAAGCAAATTAGGCCTCACAGATGCAATCGTCTTCTTCAGTGGCATGTGACCAGGAAAATATAATTTTTATAGATGAAAAAATTGTCACGTTAAAGAAATATTTAATAAAAAACTTACAAAGACACGAAAAATGTGATTCCAAGAGATCAACGTAGTTCTCAGCCGCTTTCTGTAATAATTTGGTGGGAAGTCTTCTGTAAAGGCATTCCACTTCTTAACTTTTAATAAGAGGGGTTAAATCTAGGGCAAAAGTGCACCGTGATCACTAGTGATCGTTTAATCTTTCTAAACAATTCTAGCTAACGACCTTACCCAATTCTGCTTTAATGAAGAAATAACTATTAACCTAAACTATGGTATTTGTTACTTTTTGGGTTTCGTAAACTTTATGCCACTCCTTGGATTTATTTCATATTATTAGTTCCTCTCTGAGTTAGGCTTACCATTAAGTAATTTATAAATACACTTCTTCTTACTAATCTTACTCATACTCTTATAGCCCTCCAAGACTAATCTAGGGATCTCCAAGACTAATCTAGGGGATCTAGGGATGACCAGAATATATTCCAATTATGGAGGGTATACTTTTTCAGCCTGCCGAGTGGCAGTGAAAGCATCGTGAAGTCGATTATCCAATCGATGCCCGACCATGAAGAAGTTGGATTGGCAGCCGAGCTATTCAAATATTGCGGCGCAGAACTGATAAGGAGCATCAGCTTCTTTTTACAATATGGTCGCACGAAAGTGTGAACGACAGAATCTAAGTGTACTCTGCTCAAACGCTTGGAGAGACCCCATAATCTGGGCCAACTATCATGAGATAAGCTTCTTCAACATCGCAAACACCCGAGAAAGGAAAATCGACACAACCCACTGTCGATTTTAAAGCCGCCGCAAAGCTAGTACGTCTGTGTAAGCTGACATTGAGCAATACTAACAGCTCCGTGAGGATCGGGAAGGACCTCTCCGAGCCGTTCGATACCAAAAGAGGTTTTAGACAAGGCGACTCCTTATCGAACGAGGGCAAGACGCAATATATCTTGTCATAAAAAACACTCCGCTAAGAGTGTTCGAGGCAGCACCCGTCGGGGTAGCATAGAAAGAAGAATACTTCCACTCCATTGGAAAGACCAAATGGAGAAAAACCTGGTTGCACTTCGAATCTCCATCTGCCCTAAGGAATTTCCATAAAATCTTAAGTATTTCTCTATTCGCTTTTTAGTCAAAATTTTATATTCTTAACCATATGAAGATTTAAACCGAATAAATACTTTTCACTTACTATTATTACAAATGGCGTCTAAGTGGCATTAACTATTCTTACAAAACCAGAAAAAAAATTTTTTTGGCATATTTATTTATATAATAAGAGAGATGAATTTTCATATATATCTACATATGTACATATCTACCATATATGCGCATATGGAGTTCAGAGAGAGCGAGAGAGAAAGAGATATCTGATATTTTTTGGAGCCGACTTTGATTAATTCGTTGCTATTGTTGTTAAGTTTTCTTAGTTCGTTCCGTTTTCAAGGAGCTTTAGCACAGAATATGACACTGGTTAGAGTTTTCCTCAGAAATTAGCCAATACCAAAAAAAATTATATATCATAGGAGTTCATGTTATCCGTTTCCAAGTGATTTTATTATAGGTAGTAACAAGTACATAGCTTTAAGTCCTTTTCGTAACTTTGGCTACTCGTGCTTTGTCGTGTTCGCTGTTACTTCACGACATTCTATATATTAATATATTGCTTTACTATATATTAAATACGTTTTTCATGTAATTAAAATTAAATAAATGAACAACAAAATTATTTTCTAATTTTAGTTTTTTTTTTTTTGGTTTAACTTTTTTATATACATAATTTAAAAATTGTTTTAAGTTCTTCATTATTTGTTTTGAGTTTTGTTTGCTTTGTTTTAATATATGTATGCCTTCTTCAAAAGTAATTGCACCACGTTCGTAATACAATTAAGTGTATTTATAAGCAGAGAAATTAAAAATTTTATTTAAAATAAATATATACGAGAGAGAGAGATGAATAAAACATCTATGGAGAATGGTTGTTGCTATAACTGGTTGTTGGTATTTTTATAGCTGATCTGGTCTATCACACATTCTGGCAAGAAATGCTGCGTGGGAGGAAAGAAAGAAATAGATATAATTAGTTGTATGCATAGGAAATATTTTCAATTAAATATTTTAATTTAAATAATTTGTAGATTTTATATCTAAAACTTTGACATAACACCCACATAAACATTGTGTATACATACAAACAAAAAAGTGCGAAATTTTGTTGTGCACATAAAGACATGGTAAATAGTGAGGGTCTTATATATAGTTGAACTGAAAACTATTTTATGTATTTGAGTTTGAAATCGAAGAAGTTTTTGAGTGAAAACTAGTGAATGTTTTTGATTTTGCTATCTAAAACTTTATGTTTTTCAAATTATTTAACTAAGATGTTTTAAACCGTAAAAGAGTATATGATACAATGAAAAAAATGTCTATATATGCATATATTTTTTAAAGAGAATACATTAAAAAAAATCTAAATGAAAATATATTTAAAAAATATACACCCTATTTTGTGCCGCAAATTATTTATTTTATTACTAAAATATGTAGTATTTTTTTATTTTCTACATTAGTGTAAGAAATTCACAAATCTTTGCCTTAAGTACTGTCTTATTTAAAATTTATGGAATGTATCTAGAATTCGTGTACTGATCTGAATTGTATGATGGAATCTCTACTAAAACTGCAAACATTTTTCCAAAAATTTACATATAAATCCTTCATCATATCTTAACCCGGATATATGTAGTTGCAGTAAGTTATATCGGACTTAAAATTGTTGTAAGTAAAAATAATGCTCTATCTACCCCTTAGTATGAAAGTAGAAAAGTACTAAAAATTAATCTTAATTTTATGTAATTTTTACTTCATTTTGACTTCCAATTTTATTTCATTGTATTTTATTATTATTTTTTTTGTTGTAATGTAATTATAATTTAATTTTATTTTCTTTTACTTATTTTTTA